TACCGCTAAAAGATTGTGTTCTAAACTGGCCCGTTTTACAGCGGATAAACTTTTTACAGAGACTGTCGCGCGACAACCACCTTAAGTACTAACTCCAATAGTATTCTGTATTTGGGAGTAGAATCGGTCATAAGTTTTTCGAGACTTAAGGACTTAGGACGTGAACTAATTAAATTTTCTCATCACTGTTAGCAACTAGTAGGAAATAGTAAATACATTGAGGCTTGATTTTCAAATGTTGGAATGACATCCCTTTGCGGATTATTCGAATATTTTTGGAACTTTCCAATAGTCTTCATGAAATAATTTCTTCGTAGACCCACGTACTCTTAATCGCCTTGAAAATATTCACGCTACAATTATTGCAATGTTCATTGCTGGAATAATTGAAAATCATCGAAACCGATGAAATTTATTAAACAGAACATTTTTCGATTGGGGATCAATAGAAAATTGTAGTACTTAATACCCTTAGCGGACCACTCGATAGGGTGGAATCGAGTTGTGCACTGAGTCGATAGATGTTCGAGATTGAGTCGATGGTAATGTATTATGTCGATGGTAATCTCGAACACCTATCGACTCAGTGCACAACTCGATTCACTCTATCCAGGGCCTATCGAGTAGATCTCGAATGGTCCGCCAGGGACAAAAATTATCTTAAAATTAATATCAAAATTAAGTATTCAATTAACTTATTCGGATTATTTGTTCCGAATGAACTATTAAAATTTTTTTGAACAATTCAATTACTGTACGTATTTTCCCCGCTTTTCTTTTCCGCAAACAACAAATGACAAAGAAGCTACTCACTCCTGAATGGAGTGACACCACAACTTCATTTTGAAGTCGCCTTCAAATAAATTTAGTCATGATTTCGGTAATTTCAAGCGAGACGTGATTTCAATTACTTCAAACTTCAGAATCAATGACTTCACGACTTCAAATGACTTCATTTCATTTCAATTTTGTAGTCAACGATTGCAGTTAAAATGAAATCATCGAAATTATAACAAACATATAATTCGAAAGAATAATGAGACAATTATCGTAATTAAACTCTTTATTAACACGCTCGTTATGTTTTTGTTTTTGACGCAATGCCTGGCTCCTCGATTTTACGACGTTTAGGCGAATGAGTCAATTCCCAGAAAAATGTTGGTGGAGAGGGGTTTTGTTTTGTTCTGCTAAGCGTTTAGAGAAAATTTATTTTCGGTGCGAGATTCACACTATACCTATATTCAAGAACAAGCGATATATGATTACACTGACTGCAAGTGATTTCAGTGACTTCAATTGATTTAAGAAATGACTTAAAAATCGACCTCATCGATTGAAATCACCTGATTTCAGTGACTTCTGTTGATTCTCAACTCACTTAAAATTGATTCGACCATCGAGTGACACCATGACTTCAGGAGGGGATAGCTTCCCTAGCTCCTAAAATTCTGTTTTTATTTCCTTTTCAAATAATTGTTCTAAACCCTAATACGACGAAGATATTCCTAACATAAAGCACAAGAACTTTTTGACTTGTTTTACATCTTCAGTCCATGATGTAATTTTTAATAAGTTTATCTTTACAATTCCCAGATAACACTCACAACTTTCATGAAAATAGTGCGTTGTAAAATGAGAATAAGTTTCTTCTCTCAATAAAAATGTAGAAATAGAAAATGATGCTTGTGCCAAACCATTATGACTATTATTTAGCTTTCAATAGTCGTTTTTTTAATGGTATTGAATAGCTGAATTGGGAGGAGTTATTCTTATTTGATTTCACTTTGCACGACAGGACTGGGGCTTTTCTCCGGATCAGGAAGATAGTCAAGGTACTGCCGTAGTGCTCCACTTTCGTGGCCTTCAACGTTTATACAGGCTTAGAAAAAAAAGTACTTTTGCGTATTAAAGTTTATCTAATTGTAAGTTTATCATTAAACGCAATTCTATTTTTTTACCATTGGTGAGGTTTTTTAGATTTTTGGAAAAAAGGGATTTAATTGATACAAAACAATGATTAAGGGGAAGATACGCGCGAAGTTTCAGATTTTTTTTGTGCTGTTTTGAGGAGGTAATTCTGTAATCGATTAGCAATCTTCACATCGTGTCTTTCAAAAAACGAGAACTATTCAATAACGACATTTTCAAACACTGATGCAGAAGTGTAACTTAACGAAAATAAAATTAAAAGAAATGAAAAAATGAAGAAAATGGTGTTACGAAGAGAGAAGCTTACAAATGTATTTACAATATGTATATTTTCAAGTTCTAACTGAATGATGGAGTAAATAATGATGAAGTAACACGTCAGTAACTTTACAAGGGTCAGGTAGAAAAGGAATTCTAGAACTTCCTCGAATCTCGCGTTAATGAAAAATCAAAGACCACTGCTTCAGGAATTGCCAAAGCTCTCTATGAATGGCGGATATTCGCATCCGTAATTTCTGGAAATGTCGGTAAAATTAGAGATTAATTTCTCTTAATTAAGTCCTCCAATTATAAATTTCGAAAAAAATTTCCTGATAAAAAAAATGATCTCAGTCCACGAAAAAGAAGATTGATTGAAAACTGTACAGACAATTGTTACCATACGCAATCAATAAAATCAATGAAATTTCACAATAAAGGGTTCAATGAACCTCCGACTAATTTCCGCTCTACAATTACCCATTTACGATGGACTCACGTCAAGACTTGTAATCCTACCTGAATAGGAAACCCACACCTCCATAAAAAAAAAAAAATCTTTCCCCTCGCATATTTCTTCCTCATTCGTTCATTAGCTGTCAGGTCGATAATAAAAAAATGGTATAAAAATTTACGTAATAATATGAAAGAGTCAAACTCTGAAGCGTACGCTGACGGCATCCACTCACTTCCCTTATATTTTCCACAAGGCACATACGTATGCGTAGAAATTTCCATGTATTACGAGTATACGCATACGGTATTGAGTCTGAGTGTAAGGAGACGGGGATATTGGAAAAGTCAAGAAACTGTTGGAGCATAGAACAGGCTCCCCTCGCCAATAGGTTCGAGTCATCCCCCATTCACTATTAAATCCCCCGCCTATAAAGTTGCACTCTCAAGCGCGCGCCCGCCTCACAAACGCTCCACCCTTCGTTCTATCATCCAGTCTCAACAATTATCACCATGAGACCATTACAAGTAAGTCATTATAGTCATTTCATTTCATTCAATTATCAATGAGACATGGTACCTGCTAAATCCACCGAATGTCGCTACGTGAAATGACACCTCGCCGAATCACAATTCATCTAATTTCATGTCATTTAATTAAACGTCTGTTTGCTTAAAATCATTTCGCTTGACTCTCTGTTCGTTTAAAAGTCATTTTGCTTGTATTAGTGGGGAAATTATGGTCTTGCTAGGGAATTGTGTCTTCTGCTGTGCGCCTCATGCCCGGGGATTGTCTTTGTTGTGTTTTTCGTGTGCCTTTTTCGTTCGGAAATATATTCATTCGCCCTTTTTAAATTGTTAGTTAAATTACTCATTTGTTTCTGCTACTTTATCATTAATTTTTGATAGATAGGATATAGATTTTAGTTGATTATATTAATGCGATCGGAATATTAGGCGAGTCGTGAGGTTGGCAAAATCATTCTCGGCAAATCGAGATTTAAGAGAAACGACTTTAGTTAATTTGTACTGCTAGGCGAATTAGTTTTATCTACCTCACTGATATTTTCTATTTTACTCAATTTTTCCCCCCACTAATTGATACACAATTTTAATTATTTTATATTTAATTTGTACATCTGCAATCATTGGGGAATTTTAACGAACGTCATAAAGTGCCGCCCAAAAATATCGCGAGTGCAATTATACCTTTTTTTACAAAAGATCTAACATGATTGCGTGTTTACTCCAATAATGTCGCAAGAGTGTTTTTCTCCATCGCATGTTTACTTGATTGTCCCATTACTATTTTTATTTTGTTTAAATAACTCAAGTCCATCGTTCAATTGGAATCCGAGTGATTGAAGTTGATTAATAATATGAAATAAACATCTATTTAGTAATTTCGTCGTAATTACTCGAATTATTTGAGGAGTTGATTATATTAGAGGAATGGAACTTGATCAATTATTCAGAACTGCGGAGAATCAGGAAATGAAACTAGTTTGACTCTAGTACTAATTACGAATTCTAATTTATTCGTGTCACTAAAATACCAAAATGTTTCTAAAATTAATGGCTCAAGTGGAGGAATAGTTTTAACCAGTTTTCAGGTAGAATGTTGATTGCACTGAGACAGCGTGACATTTTTCAAATAGCTGAATAAGAACAGAGAAAGGCTGGGTTTAATCTATATATTTCACTTTCTATTCCACCGCGCAATATCGCAGACTTGAACTATGAACATCTTGATTAATGCTCGTTAGAGTGATGGGTTCCAATTTTGTCTTTAACTATTTTTTGATTCTTCACGGTCTGCTCGATTTGCAATTGAAATACGATATTGTGTCTGTGAGAATGTGGATTGCCAGTGGAAAAAGGTCAAGTCTCATGGTTTCTTTCCAATAGCATCGTAAATAGTAGGCGATCTACTGTGCATAGACAACTTTCCTTTCCACTTGTCGCAATGCAAATTCACTGAAACGCAGCGCAGTTCAATGCCTCTTCCACATATGCATATTCAATAGTTTTCTTAGTAGAAATTGGCATTGATTTTCTTGGAGATTTATTATCGTGCTTTTATTTATTTCTTTTAGATATTACTCCTCGTGTTACCATTATGCGCCGCTCAATTTCGTATTCAAGGACCTAGCGATGGAAATCGTCGAGCGCAGGGGCTCAAGTACGATAATGAGAAAGGCATTCAGTACGATGATCAGAGGGGTGAGTACAAACGAACAAACAAATCAATATAATTCTCAATTAGTCACCATGCAGGGGAATCACCGCAAAGATCATTTTTTTCTTCAATATTCCACTGTCTAACAATTTGGTGTCCATATCGCTGATTTTTTTGGAAGTTTTTACACTAATTCCATTTTCCATGTTGGACTGATCCTATATATTTTATACTCATTCCAAAGTTTATTAGAAGCGCTTTGAACAGACAGTTGATTCCTCCAAATCTGATTATTTTTCATTGACTTATGAGAGTTCTAGGTATAAATTGACTTTTTACAATTCATTAGAAAAATTACTGATTGGATTTTTTGGTACTTCAGAATAGACTAAATAGGAGCCTTTATACGTCATTTTGAAAGGAGTTTTATTTTCTCCCAATAGTGTATAATAACTGTCGTTTAATTCAATTTTTACTCAAGTCCCTGGACTTTTATTCAATTTTATAACTCATTAATATTTACACCCTTGAATTCGGCTTTTCAGTGCATTTCCAGGCGTTTCGACTTGATTAATAATATATTTCTATTATACATCAATTTGAAGAACTCTAAGAAATCTTCATAATCCAGTTTTCCATTTCATAAATTAGGTTAATTTGTATATAGGCAATTATGAGTTACAAATTGAAAATTTCTGAATTTTTTGCTCTAGGGTGTTTTGATCAATGTCGAGTGTCAAATCGTAATCTTTCGAATCGATTATCACTAGATTAACGCTGGAAATCTCATAGTGGTTCTGAAGATAAATTTATATTCGCTGTAACTTAGTTTCAAGAAGTCATAATTTCTGTTCATTTGACCCAAAGAATAAGTCATAATTTATTCCCCTAATTATATCCTTAATATATGCCTCGAATTTTGATTATTTGAAGTTACCCAATTAGTACCGATCAAGAAATTGAATATAGAATCAATTTCGTACGACATGACCAGCGCGCGCGTTTCACCTAGTGTACCGAAGACTTGGCAAAAATATTGTAGGGAAACAACCGTTTGTTCAAATTTTCAATTTTCAAAATGATTTATCGATTTTGAGCGTTATAGAATCGTTCGACTAAAAGTGCCAAATACGCGATCAAATGAGAGTTAAGAATCTATAAAAAATTATATAAAAGATAATAAAAAAAATGAGTGACCCCAGAAGTAATGCTCTTACAGATTATGTTCTAGATGTTTTTGAATATAAAAAGGGGTTCAAAGCATCTCTTAATGCAATATTTTTTGTATTGAATCTTGTGAACCGCTAAAAGGGCTTCCAACGAGTTTTTCTAAACTACAATTTTTAGGGATATCACCTAGATGTTCCATCTTTTCGTAATAGACGGTATTTAGTGTATCCTTATTATGAAAGTATTCCATTCAATACATGCAGATTTGATCAGGGGATAGTAACATGAATACTTTTAAAAGCACAATGAAATGGGGTAACCACTAATAATCCGAAGGTTTTCAAGTTTGATGCGTATCTATCCTCGGATATTATAAATGGTTTTCGTGTTTTATCAGACTATCAATATCATCTATTATTGTGGCACAATTGTATTTTATAGCAGTGAGAAACGTCCATGTCTCCCCGATTGTTGAAAATATTTATTTATATCTTGGAGGAAGTGCACCGCACAAAATGCGCAGAAAGTGCATTTTTCGTAGACTCCTGCTTAGGTACTGCGTAGCTAAAGGATTCCTTTAGTATATACGGTATATAAGGGCTCATTATGATATGCGCGGAGGTGCTAATCCTTATTATGAAAGTAAAAACACGAAAATGAAGTTCGCCCGAGTCGAAATATCTCGAAACGCGTAGGACTAATGCCTCATTGGTCGAGTCGAACCGCCAAATTCAAATTCGGCGCAAGGAGTGCGCAGTAGATCTCGTTTCTAGGTAAAAGAGACGGAACGCCCGCTACGGCGCATTTTACTCCTATCGAAAAGTAGATAGTTATCAATATCGAATGGAATCGAACCTCTTAATAGTTGAGCCTAAATTTTTTTTCCACTTCCATTTCCAATTCATCTTTCATTGGTGCCTATGTACTGTCTTGTACATGAAATTTCTCATGGAGCATACATATAGCATCATTCACCTGAATTAACTTCAAAATTTGTCACAATTTGTAATGCCCGAACTGTTCAGAGTTGGACTGACTGATCAGTGATGATAACCAGGAAATTTCATATGAATGTATTATGTTTAAAGATTCTAAGATATTTCTAGGAAAGTTTACACGGAGAGAAAAAATTCATAAAAATTGTGTCCCATTTCGTAATCCGCTAGTCAAAATAGTATTGAGCCAAAATTACGGAACACTTACGCACTTTTTCACTGAATACCCTTTGGCTGGCAGATTACGGAACAGGCACATAATATTTGTAAAATTTTTATCTCCGTGTAGGAGTCATTTTTGAATATTATAATCCGACAGATTAAAAATCATGATTAGAAATTACAAAGTTAAATAAATTAATTGAAATTACCCGCCCAGATGACAGCCAATGAGGAGTAAGTAATTTCGAGATATCGATAGTCTCGACATTTGTCCTTTTTATAATAGAAATAGGAAAATATGTCCTGCCTGAGCCTGAGATCTGAGGTCAAGTCAGTCTTGATGGGGGCAGGTACTTGTGGGTAATGGAAAATTAAATGTTGATACCGATTTTAATCAAACTATATCATATTTATTAGATATATTTTTTCTGCGGATTCGCCGTTTGCCTCATTCATATCCGAGCATTTCCCGTCATCAGTTATTTTTTCAATTCTTCCTACTCGATTATTGTCCCCCGTTTTTGGAATTGATTAAAACGATGCCAATTGGTCTTATGACTTTATCCAATGAGTAACGATTAGCGAATGGTTCAGTTGGACGAGCATGCCACCAATTAACAGAATTGTTCGGTAACAATTAACAAATATTCAGGTGTTCTGATTCGACAATGTTATTCGGTAACTGGTACAGCACCGCCTGTTAAATCAACTGAATTCTTCTATCTATTTATAAAATATTCCGTTAGGTGAGAAAGGATCAAATCGTTAGTAATAGTCCAGTATTTTTAAATTAAAAATGTTTCTCACTGGAATGTAAAGTACAAGATGTAAGCCTGCAAAAAATCGTATTCGTGTTGATTGAATTATCTGAACGAAATTTGTTTCCATTCGTGATTGTTGCTAGCGAAACTATTACGAAAGCATTCGAACAAAGTGTACTCACTTTAATACCTTTCACATGAATGTCTCTAGCATTCACCCGTCCATTTGCTTAATTCAATCTCCACAGTCATTACGACATTACAATATTGTCTTTCTCTATTAGATTCTTTAGGGACAGGGGATTTTTCCATAAGCGGTGCGTCAGACGGAAACAGTGACTTCAAAATCCAGGGAGCGAGCGATGGAAACTCCGATTTCCAGATTCATGGAGCCACCGATGGCCATGCGAACTTCCACATCCGAGGACCCACGGATGCAAATGCTCAATTCCAAATTCAGGGAGCATCTGATGGAAATGCTAATTTCCAGATCCAAGGAGCCACTGATGGAAATGCCGATTTTCAGATTCAGAGGGCTACCGATGGAAACGCCAATTTCCAAATTCAAGGGGCTACTGATGGGCACAGTCAGAGCTCAATCCAGGCCCCACAGGATTATAATCAAAGAGCCTTGTCCTATAAAGACTCATCAGGTTCCAGACTCAACTGGAAGTCATATCAGCACTCAGCTAGACCGCAGGCACAACCGCAGTACCAAGAACCTATTCAGTATGCTCCTGCTCCAGCCCCTCGCAGAAAATCTGGCAGACGCCCACAGGCTCAATCTGCTCAGGCTCCAGTCGCGCCTGAAAACAATTACAAAGTATTTGACTCAGCACCACCCGCTATTCAACAACTTCTTCAGTTCCAGCAGCAGGCGCCCTATCAGAATATTATTCCTCCGCAATTCAGGTTCGCAATATTAAGATCAACTAACTCATTAAAAAAATCACTAGGTAAATGCAAAACGGCTGCTGAGCATAATTGAGAGGACAATTTTCCGAGGAATTTATATACTTCCTATCACAATGCGAATATCAAGTTTTTTTTTTATATTCCGGTCCTTTTCGCCCTGTTCTGGCTAACTGACCCTATCTCACCCTATGCATGCGGCTGTGGATCCTACACTGTATCGTATTCACTCTCCTATTGAACATAGGAGTGACACGGGAAACCACAGACAAAACCATGTCGGTACAGGCAGTTGCTCTATTAGCAACCTCCGGCTCATCGGTATCTGCTGAAAAATTCGATTCAACGGGGAATTGAATAGAATATCAAGTTAATCATGAAAATTGCTTAATACAGAAGAATTTCATAAACAGTTAATTGTTGTCACAAAAATATTGCATTCTGCTTCAATTATTGAAGTAACGGTTCTGGCACGAATGGACTTACCCGAAAATCAAAAAAATTGAGACGAAAATTTCGAGTTGTCGATACGGTGGTTGAAAAATATTAGGGCGGCCTTTTTCTTAAAATCCTGTGACATATCCGGAAAATTTATTAAAGATCTTGTCTCAACTTACCTCCTCTTATTTCGTTAAGGAAACCTTTGTGTTTAATTAAATATTTTAAGTTAACGATTTATCCTCAGGTATGATTTCAACGGTCCTCCACCAGCTACCCTCGCAGGTCAATCAGGAGACTCCCCTATTGCTTCTGTCCCTCAAGAACAACCATCGCGCTCACAATATCGCGCGAAAGCTCGAGGACGTCCGAGGGAGAGACGTGCGGCTCAAAATCACTCTCGTCAAAGACAACAGAAAATTCCGCAGAGAATCGCTGGCCCCCCGGCTAATCCTCAACCGCATTTATCTACGAATATTCCAGCTACAATTCAAGGGATTCTTGACTTCCAGGCAAAGGCGCCCTACGTTAATCACATTCCTGAGCAATGGAGGTAATTTAATTTTGATGAGTTTCTCGAATAAAAGCTGTCAATAATATTGAATTCCTTCGATAAATTAATGTAACAATAATTTCGTCTTGTGCATTGTAGATACGAGAGACTATTAGAACAGGAGAAGAACCTTCCACCTCCTCAATATCAACGTCAGCCAGAACCTCATCCTGTTCGTCACAGCCAACGAGTCAGAGAGAGGAGAGAAGCTCAACATCAACAAGCCCAGCCTCATTACAATTCGAATCTTCCATCCCACTTACAAAAATTGTTGAGTTTCCAGGCATCTACTCCATATACCAGTGTCATCCCGGAGCAATACAGGTGAGGAATTTGATAGTATAGTATAAAGTTGCGCGCGTGTGTAAAACCGAACGCAACAACCGAATGATTATAGTAATTTATGTCCCTCTAGACCATTCGCCTTCGCCTCGTGGTCTAAACCTCCCACATACGAAAAATCACTTTCCCGAACTTGTTACGAAATATACTATTTCGACACGCCGTGCGTGAAACACTGCCTCACGTATTGATTGTGAAAACAGACATTTTACCACTGTTGATAAATTGATTTGTCATCATTTGCGCAGTTACGAGAAGCTTCTAGCAGCTCAGAAAGGTCAGCACAGACAGAAGCGTCAGACTCCAAGATACCAACACAATCAACAATCGCAGTTCGATCTCTCTCAGTACAAGAGAATCTCCCAGCCTCAACAACTTCAACAGGCTCTCCCACAGTATTCCACGAACATTCCAGGGTCTCTGAAGCAGCTCCTGAATTTCCAATCGCAAGTGCCTTACGACATTACTGCAAACAAGATTCAATACCGTTTGGACAAACCCTACGTTCCCCAGCCAGTTCAAGCAGCACCGATCTCTCAAGTTCCTCAACACACTCAAAGGTCTCAAGCTCCTCGATACCAACAGCCATTAGCACAGGCCCCACAGTATCAACAACCTCAAAGACCTATCTATCAACTTCCACAGTCCCAACTGCCATCTCCTGAAACCCAAAGACCTCTCTATCAACCAGCCCCTCTTGCCCAGCCTCAGCTTCCTCAAGGTCCTCCCCCCTACCCTCACCAGCCTCAAACACCCACTTATCAGAATCCACAGCAGTTGGGGCAACAATATCAACAAAATCCTCAGTCCCAGCTGATCCGCCCACAATTGCATCCCAATCAACTTCCACAATTCGGTCGTCCATATCCGTCTCCATATGCACAAAATAATCCAATTCGTCCAGTTACAGAGAATCAGTATTGAGGAGAAGAAATCTCAGAAAACGGGACAAAATTAATGGAGAAGTAGCACGGAATGAGTTAGTTGATTCAATGCAGTTGGATTCGTGGAAAATATCGAAGTTGTAGAAAAGTGATTACATAATTTTCGCCAGAAGATTTTCGCTGAGATATTTTCTATCTATGCTTTAGAGTACAATAATCAGTAAATCAACACATCATATTAACAGTAACTTCTTGCAAAAATTTAAGGGACACACCTGGTTAGCCTGAAAGTATCGAAGAACTCGGTGAAAATACGGTCTGTCCTGCTCATTTCTATTCATGTACTGCAATGATTCAAAGACGCTTTACTTTAATTTTGCATTAAAGTGCAAAGCGTACGTAAAAACTCTCCACACTCCAAACTCTCGTCCAAATATTCATAAAATGAGTTGTTTCAAAATTACATGCCGAGAGATTACTGATAACTCACAGAGTTATCAACAAGATCTTTCTAACACTCCGTTTTTCAATTATCCATTATGGCAGTAGTTTCGGAATGAACACAAAAAGTTGAACGCAATAAATTAGATACTGGATTCAGATGAGAAAATTGGGGAATTCGAAATAAATAACCAGTAGTCATACGAGTGCTCCAAAATTATCGGATATTTTCCGAGTGCTACGCTGCCGAGCAACGAAGATTCGAATATTCGAAGCACGAGGGATTTTTCAAATGTCAATTACTGCGCTCTGATGGGCTGAAATCCGAATGAGAAAAATCATCACGAATATTTCAAAGTATTGCGTGTCTCTTCAATACATCAACGATAACTTTTTTTCCAATGTGATAAAATCGGAAGAAATCATAACTCCTGATAATTATTGTATTTAAGATACTTTTGTATGAATTAAATATGCAATAAAAACAATTATTTTAGATTAAATAACATGACTATTTTCATTAGCATGGAAATTGAAAGTAATTTTAATATTATCCTAGTGTGGCTTTTAACAGGAAACAAATTGGGAGGCGAGATAAGTGGACACGTTACGTTATAGTAGTCGGATAAGTAAAAGTTTGAAAATCCAATGCAAGTATAATGACCCTAGAGATATAATCTATTGACTTGAATTTTTTTTTCAACTATTCG